ATTTAAATTTTTCTTATGGGGTATCGACAGTAATATATAATAAAATAATTTCATGCAATACACATTCATATATTAACATAACATATTCTTAAAAATGCATATAGATGAATCATCGTATATTTCGGTGACAATTTGACTAGACATTTCCATATCACCTGTAGACTACATATAATTTTCAAAAATAATAAAAATCTAGTTAAGAATGTGTACACTTATGTAAATAATTTGCGTACATTCTGTGCTCATGTTATGTTAACTATATAATGATCTTTAAAAGAAAAAATAAATTAAATTTATAATAAATTTAAATTGAAGTTACAGCATGACAATCACATTATCATGAAACATGATCACGCGCATTTTTGTCTGAGAAGTAAATAACAAAACTAGAACAAAGCTTGCCTAAATGATAGTTTAATCGCAAAAGTAATTAAGTAAAGTAACGTGAGACATTATAACAGTAATCTATAAACTTGAAATTCCTGTTGAGAGTTTTAAGTTTGTTTAAATTGTTTAATTTTCACATTTCTACATACAACGAGCAGAAGTGCGATAGTTATGATATATAAGGCACGTAAAGAATTAATGAATCGTTGACACACCTGTTGATCTTGATTTATAAACAGCTGCCGGGAATTCGGCGAAGACGGGAGTTCAGTCGGTATAACCACCGACAAAAGACCTTCGGGCTTCTGGATACTCATCTCTGTTACAAACAATACGATACGTTATAATATGTTGTTATTTCTAATGTTGTTATTATCCCATATATAAAATATAATAATACAATTGTAAATAATAATAATATTAAATTATATTTATGAAGTAATTGTAGCAGTTAATATTTTTACATTGCTTTTATTATTATTAACTGCCCGTTTTCAAATTGACAAAAAAAGAATGAGAGAATTATATAGTCACTTGGAAAATCGAAAGAGTTCATGATATTTTCAATTTTCCAAATTATATGTACGTAATACAATTATCTGCTTCGCAATTTTAATTGTCAGCTAGCATAAGGCGTTGCGATAAACGATCTTAATTTCTTTTTACTTTTTTTTATTTTAACGACTCTCCGAGCGCTTCGTAAAGCATTACGGAGTCGGTTTTTTATTGCTGAATTAATATATACAGAGTTGGGCAAATACGTATTTAAAAGTATTTAAAAGTATTTGAAATACAGTATTTAAATTACGCCTCTTACCACCGATTTATATTAAGTAATTAATTACAAAGTTAAAGATACTTAATCATTTGCTATTTAAATACTGTATTTAAATAAGATACATATTTAAATATATATCTTAGATACTTTCAAATACGTACTTGAACCAATCCTCTCTCTCTCTATATATATATATATATATATATATATATATATATATATATATATATATATATATATAAAATATAATATATTTAATATAATTAATTAATATGTTAATTAATATGCACATACGAAACTTAAGTTAAGACTTGGTGGTAAAAAGAAGCAGAAAATAGTGCAAACTAGTGCAATTCAACAAAAATAAACCTCTTATCTACACTGTTAAATATTGGAGGGTCAAATTTAAACCAATTTCTTAAGTTAAATAATATTTAGTTATTTTTAACTATCATGTGTGTCAAAATATACTATTTTAATACAAAACATGTGTTTAAAAAAACACAACTAATCAACCACATCTAATCAACCCACTTAAAACAATATTGTCATTTTTTACTAAAACAAAGGTTACATTAACGTGCACATGATAAAAAATAAACTAAATTTTAGTCAAATTTAATACATTTCTTAAGTTAAATAATATTTAGTTATTTTTAACTATCATGTGTGTCAAAATATACTATTTTAATACAAAACATGTGTTTAAAAAAACACAACTAATCAACCACATCTAATCAACCCACTTAAAACAATATTGTCATTTTTTACTAAAACAAAGGTTACATTAACGTGCACATGATAAAAAATAAACTAAATTTTAGTCAAATTTAATACATTTCTTAAGTTAAATTATTTAACTCCATTACATTAGTTAAATTAACGACATATTTAGTAGGAGCAGTGGCGACTTATAGGAATGGTTAAAAATAACTCAAATTGAGTATAATTTGACACTACGGATTTAACAGTGTAAGGTCGTATTCTCCACACGTTCAAACACTAAATACGATTTTATTATCCGCACGTATAATACGGCTTTTTTTGTCCCGAGTTGCATTTTTCTCATATGAGTATGTAGTTGTTTTAGCTTGAGAATTAGAAAAGCACACTTAACGTACACGTCAAGTTAGACCTTACCTACTCATTCTGTAATGACAATGTCGTTATCGTTATATTATAGTAGATATAATACACGGTAGAAAAACTGCGTAACGACAGAGTAGGTTAGCCACATCGTCGTTATGAAGTTAGAAAATCGGTTTATCCAGATAGCACAAAATATTCTACGAATATCTCTATGAAATGTTCTCAATTCCAGAATTGAACATTCGACGAATATACAATATTGCAAGGATTCGTATATTTACGATAGAAAAGAATGTGCTTATTCATTCGTACGGTTGATTTACCGCACATGTGCATTCATATAAAGTTTTCCTTATGTATAGCTTAAAATAATGATACGTATCTACAAGAGAAATATATTTGAATTATTCCTTCATAACATCGTGAAAGCAAAATCAATGATTGATCTACATTTTTTGTAAATATTATATGTACATTCATAAAACATTTATAGTTGTTCGAATACATCATGAATGCACTATTAAAAAACAATTTGTTTTTTAATTTGGTTTTTCTTTCTTTGTAATGAACACAATCGCACCAATAAACCTGTGTTTTAGCTCTTACACGCCTTTCTCTTCATATAATTTGTTTATTCATAAAATATTCTTGTGCTATTTGGATATTGCTACTATAGTCGATTCCTCTTGCGAATTTGACGAAGAGCGAAGTCCTCGGGTTTGATTTTCCGAATTACTCGCTCAGGATCGGAGATAAGGTGAAGGATGGGTTTTAGTCTTGCGTACACAATAAATTTGTTAAAGAAGACAATCTATATTTTCTTTTTTTTAACAAGTGTCTGCTAAATTCGCGAAGTATACTTATGTATAAACGTTAAATCGTAAGCGAAGTCGTAAGCGATTAATGCAAGAATTCCTCTCTTTCATGCTATTTCTAAATTCTTATATACTTTTATCCCTTCTCCGTAGATGATTTTAGATTACTTAATATTTAGTATAATTCCAATTCTTCCTCTAGAATCATATGTTGCATAAGCGACAATGACAAGACATGTAATTAGAAATCTTGCTTTTACAAAAATATAAAAACTTTCATGTGTTATTCATTTCTAACTATTATTTTAACGTAAAACTAATATATTATCGATTATGTTATTATTATTTTTATTATTATTTTCATGATGTTTTAATGTTATATTAACTTGAGCCGCGTTCTGATCCTACTGAAAATCTATAAAATACGTAATATGAACTATAAATTTTCACTATTGACAGTAAATATCGGAATGCAGCCTTAATAATTTAATGTTTTTTGTATGAAATGGAATATTAGAAATGGAATATTATTTTGAGTTATTTAATATAACTCATTATAAAAGAATATAATACAATTATAAAAAAACATGACATTTCTTAAAGTCACATTAATATTAACAAGAGTTACAAAACGCGTTTTTAAATAATTGTAAACTTTGACATATAGAATAAACAGATTTATTAAGAGAAAATGTTTTTGTCACGAATAAGTTAAGTTAAAATAATTAATATTATATATATATATATATATTAATATAATGTGAAAAATAAGTTATAACTGTCCCATCGATATTTCTTACGAATTATATTTTAACTACTCTCTCGTAAATTTCTTTTTTACTATTCTTTACGTTATTGGTACATTGAATTTAAAGTCAAAATAAACATGAATGTAAGAAAAAAATCGATGAGTATCAATTAATTAACATTCGTAATTTATCGATAAGTAACATACCAGGAATAAGTTATTTTTCCGCAAAATTTAGAATGGATTTTCTGGGACATGTAAAAGATGTTAAAATTAACATTTTATTTTTTTATTTCATGTTTATTTCACGCCATATATTTCGGATCATAAACGGCGATAACGAGCCTGTTGCTCACAATCGAAGATTCTCGCGAATACGAAACGCCGTTTTAACCACGTTAAAACCCTCTCAACTAAAACTTGCTTCGTGACTTCTCAGCGATACATATACATACCTACGACATGTGAGCTTGACATTTGAAACCGCAAGCAAACGTCAGTTACAGCGGTGAACAACCGTAAATTAATATTGCCTTGACTTGAAACGGATCGACATTACACCGACCTAAACGATAATTTTAATATCGTGTGGCTTCGGATAAAGTTGCTTTTTAATCAAATGGCCTCATGATAATATCGTAGTTAACTTTGTATATATAGTTGTATAAAACAAACAATAAAATCCAGTGAGAAAATCCTTCAAAACGACGTCGATCGATATCGAAACCTGAATGTCAAATTGACATCAAATTGACATCGTTTCGACATCGATCGATAAATCATTTTTCGCTGCGGAAAAACATACATAATAACAAACGGAAACATTTGGCGACTTTTGTAACGCAATATAAAATTTGAAATTATGACTAATAAATAAGTACACATATTCTGATTTTATTAAATAAATGTGTCTATTTACACACCTTCCCCATCCTCTGTGAATACTTTTAAAATCCTATAATACGTCGTACTCGCAAAATTTATGTTTCACGAAATTTGACACATATGTCGCTTAGTTCATTTTTTCAAGAAAATGTAAACTCAAAACAATTTGAACTCTCTGGTCATACATACCGGAATTCCTTACGATTACAATGACCCAAATATATATATATATATATATATATATATATATATATATATATATATATCTCGCTTAATTATCTACTTAATGATTAGTAATAGTACGCAAAATATAACAAAAATATTTTTAGTGTATAGAAATCATCTGATGCGGTGGAAATGACAGCTTCCCGATGAAAAATTTTTCATACAAAATTATGTATGAAATTTGTCCATACATAATTATGTATAATTATATATAATCATATAAAATTATATATAATTATACATAATTATATATATAATTATGTATAATTATATATAATCATATAAAATTATATATAATTATACATAATTATATATATAATTATGTATAATTATATATAATCATATAAAATTATATATAATTATACACAATTATGTATAACAATATGTATAATTACATATAAATCTATGCGTAATTATGTAAAATTATATATGAATTTATATATATAATTATATATACATAATTATATATATAATTATGTATAATTACATATATAAATCGAATGTATGAACATGAATGGACAAATTTGATACATAATAATATATAATTATGTATAATTATATATAATTTTATATAATTTTATATAATTATATATGAAAAATTTTTCATTGGGTAATTCAACCGAAAAGAGAACGCAATTAATTCGAAATTATTGTACTGATAAAAGTAAATATTTTTATTCAAATTATAGCATAATAAATGGGTCTCTTTTGAAACAAGCATGTCTTAAGTACGCGTTATGCTGTTAAAATAATAGCACAAAAATATACATATACATTAAATATTTACACGCTATGTTCTGTATATCTTTGTCTATCTCGGGAGATTTCTGCGAACGGGGACGGGATCGTCATTATGCGTTGACACATATATACGCACATAAACGTCGAAGCAAGGTCTTAAAAAAGATTCTCACCTACGATTCAGCGGGTCGCGACGACGACGACGTTCGAGCGAGTCCCGGTGCAAAAGGCCTGCGTCGAAAATATCGCAATCCCCCAGGAGCGTACGCTTTCGGGAAATCGATTCGTAGACGCGTGGGAAAAGCCGACCACCCTCTGCTGGGTCGCCCGGTAGAACGATGTTCACTACCCCGTTTTGCACGACTGGCTGGCGAGAGGAAAGGCGCGTTCACGCGGTCACCTTCGTCGAGAACAGAACGACGAGTGCACGCACGTTTCAAGCGTCGATCACCGTCGTCGTCGTCGTCGTCGTCGCTGTCGCAGTCGCTCCGCGTTTGACCCGCCGTCCGTAGCAAGTAGTAGAATCGCGTGTCCCGCCGTATTATATTTAGCGATGCAATATCGTTCCGTTCCCCTCTGGTCGACAGACCGATCGACGTCCGCGCCCTCCGCGATTCTGCGCTCTGGCGACGACGCGGTGCGCGCGTGCGGGATATACAGGGTGACTGCGAGGATGTCGCACCGACGCTGCTTGCTTGGAGTTCTGCAATAAATTCAGCGAGGCAAAACGCTCCCGAAGATTAATCGTTCGATCGATAAGGCAAATGGTTTCAGTGATTGATCGTGTCCTGATAATTGAATATCGCGAAATATTAATAATATATTCCCAGATAGCACAGAGAATTCAAAATGAATTAAAAGAGAATTCAGTCGTATGTCACCGATTCTGAATTCATTTTCAGATGCAAAAAGAATTCTTCAGAGTTCAGTTCAGCGAAAAAAATTCTTTTTGCACCTAAAAATGAACTCAAAATTGGTAATACGACTGAATTCTTTTAGAATTCTTTTGAATTCTATCTGGGTTGAAATTCTGTTCAATGATATCCAAGATAGCACAGAGAATTCCAAAAGAATTCAGTCGTATGTCATCAGTTCTGAGTACATTTTCAGATGCAAAAAGAATTCTTTTCACTGCACTGAACTCTGAAGAATTCTTTTTGCATCTGAAAATAAACTCAGAATTGTAGTGACATTTTACTGAATTCTTTTTAAATTCTTTTGAAATTCTCGGTGTTATTTGGGATGTTATAATTTTCCACGCGATAATGCGTGTAATATAACGTAAATCGTACATAACCATTACATTGTCGATTGAAATTATAATATTAATGCAATGTTTATTATAAAGATGTTTATTATAAAGTCAAGTATAAAACATTAACAGACTGCAACGTATAGTGCAATATATTTCGTTAGATTACGCAATCCTCTCAAACTCGTTGCGTTGATGTCAGCAGGGAGAATACGCTCAAGTTGCATTATGATGGAATGTGTGTGAAGGAAATGCGAGAAACAAGCGAGAGATAATTAAAGTGTAATCGTGAATTAATACCTTTGGATCTTTTCTCGTTTATACGCCAAAGCTTCTGTCGCCACGAAGAAAGAGAAACTTTTGAAAACGATTATTAGGAAGTCTTACTTTTCATTGCGAACAATGCTCATGCGTAATTACTTGAAATTCGTACGCAAGCCTTCTGATTGGCTCGTAAGCACATTTAGGCATCGATGAAAAGAAGTTCAAAATAAGGCCCGAAGTGAGTTGCAGTTTGGAAGGCAGCTAACGATTCAATGAGAGAACTTGACTCTTAGAAATTAATAAAAACCAACCCAGATGTCACAGAGAATTCAAAAAGAATTCAGTTATATGTCACCAATTCTAAGTTCATTTTTAGATACAAAAAGAATTCATCCCAGTAAACAAGGAACATTAAATTAACGTTTAGAAACGTTGACTTAATGTGTATTGTTTGGACATTTTTTAATAATATTGTATTTATATTTTTTACATGTTATTTTGAGATATGATTTTTCTGAATGTTGTTTAAACGTTTTAAAAACATTACAAAAAATATATTTTTCAAATGTTACTTTAACATTTATTTGAGATCAATGCAACATCTTAAAAATATTTCTAACGATTAAAACGTTATGGCAACCCTATTTCAACATTATTGAAACTTCCAAATCGCGATCAAAGTATGTTCATAATGATGTTCGATACAATATTAAACACTATATATTTGATAATATTACAGGTTTTTGAATATCATTGTAGTAACATTGTATTAATGATTTCTTGCTTACTGGGATTAAACTGAACTTTGAAGAATTCTTTTTGCATCTAAAAATGAACTCAGAATTGCTGACATACGACTGAATCTTTTTTTAAATTCCTTTTGAATTCTCTGTGCTATCTGGGGAGTTCTGTTATTGTATCATCCACTATATTACAAATTTCTTTCATTGAAAGAAACAAATGTTTAAAAACATTTTGAAAACATGTGTACACTATTCCGGTCTGAGTGCAGGAAGTACTATCGAAACGAGCAGATCTTCACGTGCTATTCACAGCGCACCCGACATCCAATGGCAGACCTTGTTTTCTAGGCAGCGACATCTTTGTCACTAGAAAACGGGTTCTCTGATTGGATGCGTGACGTCGACGTCGCGCGTAATGTAAACGCTTCAGAAGTTGAGAGTTTCGGAGCGCCCTCTTCGTGTACTTTCCCATCCCCGATTCAGTCGGTGCGATAGTCTCGTTAGGGAGTCCCATATCTCGAGGTATTAATGATTTCCATTTTAGGAAATCTCTTCGTTTCTCCATAGCATGATCCCGAAGAAACCGAAATCGCTATTCACCTTCCGACGTATTTTCAAGACGGTAATTAAGATCGAAGTTGTACTGCTCATCGGATTATATGGAATCTGGCATCGTATGAATCACTCGCAGGGTAAGTCGCTCGTCCCGCATCTGTGAAACTCTGGCCTCTCTTAGGTTATTTCACCTTATGATCCGTGTCGCTGCGTTCCCGTTTCTCCCCTGCAATATCATCGATTAATCCTGATCCCCTTGAATTTTTTTCCTCTCCCCGCGCTGCGTTACACTTTCTATGCGTACTTAAAATCAGCAACATGTCCGACATTTGACGGAAGATAACGTAGGGAAACGGTGAAGAAATACAAAAAATGTTATCGAAAAGACTGCATGTCTCTCTTAATGTTTCAATTAGTGAAAATTTAAGGAATTAGATCTTTGAAATCTTCCTTCTCGTTTTGTATCAGACTTGTCACTTCTTAGTACAACTGCACTCAGATAGTGAACTCTCAATATAACATTCTATATGCATCAGATTTCAGATATTACATGCGAAAGAATTATCCAAGTATATTAGAGCAGTATTACCTTCTTGGGGAAAGAATATCCGGCAACGACGAAATAAGGACGTTTGATTACATAACCTGGGAACAACGCAATGAACAGTAGATCTTCATGGCGTCCTCAGTATTTATGAAGGTTGTAGCATCTATAATTCTTGGTGGAGGCATATCATACGCTTTATTTCGTGTCAGTGTACCCAACGAAGCTGATATTGCAAGGGTAAGCATAACATTTTATAGCTACAAAATCGCCAAGTTATTACATTCAGTAGAAAAAGCTGCTGTACAACTATTGTAAACTTTGTGAATCTGATTAGTGTGTATGCTCTCAGTCTTTGCTGAATCCAAGAACATATACAAATTACATGCATATACAAATTCATGAGTTTTTTAAGAGTTACAAAGCAGCTTTCTCTGCTGAATGCAGCAATGAAAGTTGATTATCTTCTTGATAATTTTTGTTGATATAATGTATCGGTGTTTTTATCGAGTTATACTAGTTACATATAATTCATTCTTAAGTAAATTTTATGCAAATATAAATATTTCATTAATTTTATTTGACAATCTATAGATATAAGTATCTGTTTAGATATTAGTGTGAGTACAGTTAAAAATATTTTACAAAATATCTAACCTATATATCTATATGTGTATATAAAGTATGTAACTATTGCCACTTGGAATATCTTTAAAGTAAAAAAACAAAGGTGATCTTCAGATTTTTGAAGTTATTTTGCTTACAAAAAAAAACTTTATTGCTATAAGATACTTCTTTTCTAAGTAGAATAACTTGGAAAAGCTTTGTTTTTGACTGCAAAGATATATATATATATACGTGTGTGTGTCTGTGTTTCAGCACCTGCCTCCATATTCCTCAGAGCCACACGGCCTTTTCGAGGGTTACCAAAAGAAAAACGTAGATTTGATGAGCCTAAAGTCAAACAAATTGATCAGTTCTGTGGAACAGAAAACTCCAGACAGCGTTGTTAGGAAATAGCATTTATACAGCAATAAAATGGATTCCACCGAACTCATAGAGGGCAGTCTACCAGATCGCATTACGAAGAGGGATCGAGAGCGTAAGAATATCATCGAGAGGCGACGGGAGGAACGGCAATCACTCGCCGTGGAGTCCGAGCAGAGCAGTTACTTCAAGGACACATTTTACTCCTCCTGCAAGAAGATCAAGGACATGCTGGACGACGCGTCCGGCAGCCCGTCCTCGGCTTTGCCGGGGATCTTCGAGAAATCCAATAAGGAGATCCAGCTGCTCAAGAATTATTTGTCACAGTCGAAAATGTTCTTGAAGGTCTACGACATAAGACGCGCACAAGAGAACTTGCAATCGCTGGAGAACCAGGCTGCCGAGATGGAGATGAAGTTGTTGCCTAAGAAAAAATTCGGATTCAAGAATCGTCGTGTGGTGAAGAAGCCCTCCGACAAGGGCCACGACATCACGGACGGTCTGAAAGATCTCAAGATATCCGAGGGAATCGTGAACGGTTCCGCCAAACAGAACAATAAGCTATTGTCGAGCAAGTACGGCGATAATGCTTGCATGATACTAGGCAAGACGAACGAGCAGCTGGTGTTGGACGCCGAAAATGTGAATAAGAACGACATCCTTTTGTCCGACCTGGTACACTGTACCGTGAGGATATATGGTACGCCTAGTACGTTGCACATGGTGAACCTGAAGCACTGCACCGTGCTAGTCGGGCCGGTGACGTCGTCCGTTTTCGCGCACGACTGCAGCGGATGTGCGTTCGCCTTCGCGTGTCAGCAGCTACGATTACACTCGTCGACAGACTGCACGATTTATCTGCACGTTACGAGTAGGGCGATCATAGAGGACTGTACAGAGATACGGGTAGCACCTTACAACTGGTCCTACGAAGACCAGACGAGTCACTTCAGTCTAGCCGGCCTTGATCCGAAAGTCAACAATTGGAACTGCATCGACGACTTTAATTGGCTGTCCAGCGAGAAGCACTCGCCGAATTGGTCCGTTCTCGAGCCGGAGCTTCGAGTGAAAACGTGGGATTAGGTAGAATTAAGTAGAATACTTGAAGAAAACGAAGCAAAGCGATCGAGACATTACCAGCTGTAGTCGAGAGCGTTTTTCAGAAAGCTAATTCTTTTTCCAAACGTTCACGCACGCGCGTCGGTGTATTTACGTGAATGAAATTATCCATATGTATATTCTGCTTTTTCACACAAAGACGCAAGCTGTGTAAGTGTTTTATATACTTACAATGTCTAATAAATTTACCGTTTATGCAATACATACGAATATACATTTGCATTTTGGCGCGTATACCGACGTATAGTAAGTTGTAAAATGATTTAGACATTATCAGATTGTTTATCAAATTAACAAAATTGAGAGTCATTATTATATAATGGGCTTGCTCAGTAATTATATTTATTATTATTATTATTTGTTACTTAGTATTATTTATAATTATATTATTATTACATAAGTTGGTAATGAGTCAATTTTGACAGTTTGGTGAGTTTCCAACTTTATTGTGTCTAAACTATTTTGTAACTAAGTGTACATCTTGTTGAATTTTTTCTCTCCGCTTTTCGTATAATTAAACATGCATATGGTGTTTCTTCCGCGAAGAATATCCTAGAAATAATGAAATGTTGACATGGAGAAGTATTATTTTTCATGAAATTTCTTATGCAAGAATGATAACATAATGCATAGACAAAAGCCCTTATGTTGAGTTCTTTTTTTTATCGATAAAGGTGCCTCTAAATGTACCTATAAATATATATAATAGAAGGCACTTTTATCAATAAAAAAAAAGAATTCAGAATAAGGACTAAGATAAATGTCACTAAACAATCAGAAACAATCAGTTTTATACTTTTATTAATAAATAATGAAACTACAAAACTTACATTCATCAAATATAGAAATTTGGTTTGTCAGTGATTAGATTCCAGATAGAGAATTCAAAAATATTTAGTCGTATATCACTCATTCTTCATTTTTAGATGCAAAAAGAATTCTTCAGAGTTCTGTTCAGTGAAAAGAATTCTTTTTGCATCTAAAAATGAGCTCAGAATTGGTGACATACGACTGAATTCTTTTTGAATTCTCTATGCTATCTGGGAAAATATATAATAAGAAAATAAAATAATCAATAAATGTCAACACCAATAATTGAACTGAAAAAGAATTATGTCTCAATTGCCGAATAATATAGACTCAATGAATGAATGTTCATTAAATAATATTACAAATTAGCATAAAGAAATATCTTTTATAAAAAATTTCATAGACTTCCTGTTTTTAGAAATATTAAATACAAATGTATTATTAATATTTCAATCACACGTTACGATCAGAGTTGATCGTAATGAGTTGATATATAAAATATGATACTCCAAATACATATGTAAACAAAACAAATTATATATGAAATGTCATTTATATAGATAATTAGTAATTTATGAATGTTGTTTAAAAAACATATAGTACACTCAAAAATTTATCAACAAAAGTTTATATTTTTATTTAACCTTTTTAAAATCTTGATAAATTTATAAACATTTTTTTTAACAGGAATTCGAGACCAGTAAAATTCTCTGATGAAATTTTTATCTTCAAAGTAAATCTGCTAATCTGTCACATAATAAAATAAAAATTTGCCATACTATTTACCTTTTTGAAAGATTACATTTATAATTGATATTTAAAAAAAAAAAGCAAGTAACCACATTATAATTTACTCTTTTTTATACTTTAATATAATTTACATTGTATAAGTAATATGAAAAGAATAGCATGATTTATGTAATTTATAAATGTTTAAAAAAACTTTGAATATTAGAAACATATAATCTTTCAAAAAAGTAAATAATATGATATGAATTTTCATTTTATTATATGACAGATTAGCAGATGTATTCTGAAGATAAAAATTTCATCAGGGAATTTTACTGGTCTCGAATTCCTATTAAAAAAATATTTAAATTTATCAAGATTTTTAAAAAGTTAAATAAAAATATGAACGCGTTAGTAACGATCGTTCTTGTATCATCGACGTTAATTGAATTTAGCTGCGTTCGGCATTGTAAATCAAAGACGTCGGATTGTTCTTTTACCTCGAAAATGCACAAAAGTGAGAGATCTCGTATCTTTTTCATTTCTATGCATCTTCGAGATGAAAGAGCAATCTGACGTCTTCGATTTACAATGCCGAACGCAGCTTTTGTCATAGACTCCAGCGTCCATTTAAATTGAACAAACTTGTAATCTCTGATACATGCGCGATTTCCTACCAGATGGAAGCACGGTGAACTTCCTCGCGCTGTCGTTGATTGAGTCCAAGACATCCATTCGTGAACTTCCTCAAGAGGTACATTAAAACACGATGGCAAAGCTCGTTGGGAGAACCACCGAATTGGTGAGAGGTACGAGCAATTTTTCAATTATTTCCTCATTAAGTGCATCGCGTCAAATAACTGTTTCATCGTCGAGTGAGAACTTCATCTATCGCAGCTCATTTACGCGCATTATGTAACGCTCACTATCTGTCAAAGTTTTATTATATTATTTCGGTTCTGTATAAAATCTACGCGACAAAAACTGGATATTCACACTTTTATCAGCCACTTCGTAAAATCCCTTGCCTCTCTGGCGATTTGATCTTGCGCGTATGTGTAGAGGTTATGTCTCACAAGACAGTCCTCAAAACACGAAACTTCGCAATTTTGTCTAAATATTACTTTGATTGAGCGAGACAACGTTATGTTTTGATTTTTCTTTCAGCTGGTATCACTCATGCAGTACCTGTACTCAGAGTATGGCAGCAGTACGCCATGGTAGAACTAACACCACCCTCACCGAGGGATTTCTCTGCGATTCGCAGCGGTTTCGGGAAATTGATCGAAGGAGCGAAGACTGGCCGCTACCGTGAGGTCACCGTACGTGAAGCTGTCATAAACACCTTAGTAGCTGCCGAAATATATTGCTGGTTCTACATTGGAGAGTGTATTGGAAAGCGACATCTTGTCGGGTACAACGTATAAGTTTGTACACTCCACCTCCCGGTTAGACATAATTCTGTATAAATTATAGATCTTCTCGTAAATATATGTAAATGTAAATCAGATTCTCTGTTTTTGATACACATAACTATTACATTGTGACAAATGACTCATTTTGCTCAGAATTCACTTAAACTCATCAAGTATCGTTATCTTGTATTTGGCACAAACTTTGAAGGATGGTCATTTCAGTGTATGTTGACTTGCATACTGCCATATGCAAATTGCAGCAGTAACATGAACGTTTAATGAGCGTATCACTCCCATTTGAGGTATTTCCACACAAGTGTTAAAAAGTGGTATGAAGTTGGCAGGTATACCATCCTTTTCGTTCCTGCAAAACATTTTGATTATACAAGTCTTTGGATCTGCATTAACACACATCCTAAGACAAATTGATAATCATTACTTGAAATTTGCCTGAGGATATTAATTTAGAGTTGGATGTGAGTTTCTCAGCTGAATTGCGACATAATGTCGCATATATTATATAATTCAAATAAAAGACTCAAATCTAACTCTAAATTCAGATCTGAATGTCTCATGTAGAAGTTCCAAGTAATGACTATTAATGTAAGCCTTAAAGTGACACCATTAGTTGAAATTTGTTTACCCTAACACGAGAATTGTCTTTTTCTCGAATTTCGCTTCCAACAAGTTTACACTGTTGGCTGTCTGCTCGACACCAATTAAAGACCATCCTGTGTCCTTCTTTTCCAATAAGTATTGCTGTAACTCGTGTGGTTTTACCTAGAAGTTTCAAGATACTGTAATGTTGTCTTGACAATACATATGCTAATGCAAACTCCACGAATGAAGAGATTATTTTCAAACACTCATACCAACTATTTTAAGCATATATTAAAATAAAAAAAAGAGAAATATGAAATTAGATTATGTACAAAGTATCGATAAACATCAAAATATTGAAGAAGCCACCAATTTCGTCATGTGAAATCAGATTGTTATTCAAGACTATGAGAAGCTAAGAAAATCTTTTGTTGGCTCATTGAGTCTCCATTCGTCAAGAATACGTATTTAATATTTAAAGAGTACGTATATTCTATAATGATATTTTTTATGATATACAATACAATCTAAGTCTGTCAGATCCTGACAACTTTGAACCATAACTTTGTTGAAAATCAGTACTTTTGGACATATTCTTTTTCCAAAAATATAAAAAAGTCTCAACTATAAGATAGCACAACAAAATCAAAATTTGCAAATCAATTTATGTTACATCAATTTATGCCAAAATTAATGAACGATCAAACATTCGTGCGGGTCTCATAGACTCAATGTTGTATGCAGAGGGTTCAAATGACTTGAAGATGAACTATTCGAATACCTGTAGCATATTTATCCATCTTTCGGCTGACACACTGAGACACTGGAATTCTTTATCTTTCACATATTCCAAATTTGCAATAACCAGCGATTTAACTCCAAAGATTTCACATGTTCTTGCAATTCCACCTAAATTCGGTGGTCGATTAACGAAAGACGCTACAACTATCAGACCTTCTTCACATAAATCTTGCCGGTGGATGGACTCTTCAACCGCTCCAAAATTGTCATTGTATAATGGAGCTGTGAATTTGGACGGATCTATTTTCCTTTGAATATTCTGTAAGCCTTCAAGGTAAGTTTCAACGTTGTTTACTAATGACTCAGCATCATCTAGAATATAAATCTATTTTATATTCCACAGGGGAGTTACCGTCATACTACATGCTATTGTTGCTTCTTGAATTTACTTGCAGAAGATTTCGTGAGATACATAGAAGTGATAGTATTGGATAGTAACGAGTTGACGTTATGAAGCTTTAGAGGATGCCGATCGTCTCGTGCAAACTCGAAATCTTTAAACACATCCGGACTGATCCACTCGTCACAACTCACGTTAGCCAATCGTGGTAATTCAAAGTAAATCGTCTACAAGTATCGTAAAATAATATAAGTAACTTCTCGATACGTTAAACATGGTCAAGGTTTAAATCAATTCTTTCTTTTTCTCTCAAGTAAATGTATACCTGCAAGCTGTAATCATCGATTGGGTGGAAATCAGAAAAGTAAAAATTATCTTGTATTTTCGTAAAGTTCTTTGTCGAGCTTGCTTGTTGCAAGCTAGCCGTAGCCGCCTGATATATACCATCGTAACCAGATATACCATCGGTGTCACTTGTTTGCTTCATTAAGTCATATAACCGAACCAGAATAAACTATACTGAAAATAATTAAGATGAATGATGTCATGGAATACGCGAATATAACGTACAAACGGGTGAAGGTTTGTTTTCATCTATCTCGATACTTGCTAAACTTCACTTGCCTGGTTATAAAGACGTATATTAAATTGCTGGCTCAAACAACACTGCGCTACATATGGCAGTGCTATTGTAATAAAAGTTTTCTGACTGGCACCTGTGAGAAGTCGCGCGACGTGATACACAATACTCGCCACAGAGACCGTACATCCCGGCCGTTTTTCTATACTCTGGAAATACATATTATGGGAAAATACGATAAAGATTATGTAATAAAAAAGTAAGATTATTTTATAAGATAAAATGTAAATTAAATTTATAAATTAAATTAAACGTAAATTATTATTAAATATTAAATTGTTATAATAAATATTAAATTATTAAATAATTATTAAATTACCTCTGTAAAAAATTTCCACAATTCATTGTGTAGATCGCTGTTTTTTATCAAGATTCGTATCATCAACCATTCCTGCATCAATCTCACACTATGCTGATTGCTTTCCAACAAAATCAAGTCGCGCAATTTCTTTTGTAGCAGAGCCACGAGCTCCTGTGAAACAATTATCGATCGACCTTCTCATATGTGTAATGTATATTGAAGTGAAAATAAAATATATAATACAATATTCGAGATATAATATAAAATACTCAAGACACGCTCACTTCATTCATGACCGGCTCTAATATCAGTAGAATTTGCATTAGTCTGTGCTTTAACTTATGTATATATGAATCATTGAAGTATCTTTTGTTTTTGTGCTTCTCCAACATTTCGAATATAAGCGGCAGAACGGTCGTCGCAGAATTTCTAGCTGTTCTGTGCAGCAATATTGTCGCTAATGCTCGGACTGCAGCATCGTTATTATGATCCCTATTGATAGAATATAATTCAACACATAGATATAAGATTATTCTTCTCACACTTTACGAATTATTCTGGTTATTCTCTCTCTATTTTATAAAAAGAATTTCTTATTTTTGAGTCTCCAACAGAACGACTTTTCAATGATGGTTCAAACTTAGATTTAAGTTTAGACTCTGTTCTAACAATATATACATTTGATAGGTTTAAGTAGAATTTGAAGTTAAATCTAAGTTTAAACTTCTATTAAAAAATCAGCTCTAAGATTTGCATCTTGTTTATAATAACTCGTACATAAAAAGCATTACCAAGTAACAATAAATGGACGCTTACATTATTAAAATATGCTTTGGAAAATATTGTCTCAGATGCTTGACAATGCATAAGTTAGCACAATTTTCAACTCTTTCGTCACGCCGAAGTACAGAACCGTGAAGAAGACAATTCAATAATGGTTTCTCAAATTTTATCAAATTGCGAGGATTCAATCTTTCCATCCTGGACAGCAATATCCTTTTAAATTTTGATGCGCTCTCACCTTCTTTTATCAACTGATCGACGAACTAGAAAGCAAGATGAAGTTTATAAACATAGTCGATATTAAAAATCCTATTAAATTCTTCTCTTGACGCGAAGACATCTAATAACTTACTTCTGTTACGAATTCCGTAGTATCGAATCGCGATTCGAGAAAGTCATCGTTTATAATAACTTCAGTGAGATTCTGTACTGCTGTCCAGAATACAATGTTCCTTTTACTGTCAAAGGTACACCTCCAACATGATTTAAATGTATACTGAAAGGTCTCCCAATCGTTTGTGTCTATTATAATTTTTTTATTAACCAATATAGTCAGTGTCAATGCTACTTCGGTAACAGCTTCTATTCCTCCCAACTTGACAAACTTCAGCAGATAAGTTAGTACTTTGGCGGGAGGAATGCATTTATGATCGTTGGATAGAAATTCGGATGATTTCAGTGGATTCCACATATACACGGATGTATTCAAAAGATACCGAGTTGTCATTCGCGAAAGAATCAAGTAATATTCCGACGCAATTTTCCCCTTTAGATTCATCATATCGGCGTCGTATTGGTTACTGGTTTGCGCTGAGATCGTTCGTACATCCAGTAAATCTTCCGTATAAAATATTCTCGCGGAAGGCAAAATCAATATAATCTGGGAGAGGTGCAAGATGCATGTTCCATACAGGTATTGCGTGCTTTCACGGTGCTGTGTACCCCTCAGTAAACGCATGCTCTCTTCTTGCAATTTTTCCGCGTAACCGCTCAGGTCTGTTCTCGACATGAATAAATCTGCATTGATAATGTGCAAGGATACAATAGATGCATATCTCGTATAATCCTCGAGAGTTAGTCCCGTGGCCATTTTCCTCACGTTTGCAATTAGAAACTTGAAACTGGCGTGTACGTGCAACATTATCAAACGAATCAAATAGTCGTTACAAATTTTTCTTTGAGCGTAAAAGTCCATCAAATGCGATATAAATTCGGCTACGTCGATGATCGAGTGAATGTCGGCGTAAGGTCTCATCTCGATGCTGTTCAAGCAAGACAGCCAGCTGCTTAATGCATTCTCAGCAGGGCACTTTTTGCAAGAGAGTACAACTCTCGCGTCGTACAACAAGAATATCATGAATGCGAATGTTTTTGGATTGACCTCGGGAACAAGATCTTTATTTGAATATCTCGCGCAGGTCCGTTCCACAAAAGCCACCGCGTCCTCCTTTGCCAGTACCTCTCGCAACCATGCCGTGATAACGTCCCAAGGAAATCCTTCTCTGATAAGAGAAAAGGTAGCTAAAACATTCGCAAGTAATGTCAGATCGTCGATCTCGCGTACGAAATTGGGTATCGCTCGCAAGAGTTCGATTTGTGACGCGGTACGCAAAACGTGAGAGTGCATGTTCAGACTCGTCTCCATTAAGGATTTAACGGCATTCAATTCAGCACCTCGCCAATTGTGTTGCGCTGCCTCCTGCGAGGTTTTTCGTAGCGCGTGCATTATGTAAAATATCGCAACGGGGCCCCAAGTGACTTCACTGACTTTCCTGAGGAATCTGTTGAGCAAACTTGTCTCTCCCTTCGCCGTGCATCTGAAGAATGTCGAAAGTTCTTTCACAATCTCGGGATAATCCTCGTCAGGCTGATACTCGTAAAGGAAAGAATTGTTGAGGACATTCGCAAACAACTCGAGAAACTGATCGTCAAATACGACACCGTCCAGCTTACAAACGTACGACGCACTCCATTTCGCAATGTTATTATTTTCATGTCGCAAGGCTTTCTCGAGAATGCATCGCAGCCACACGATGTTGAAGCATTGGCAAGACCCGTGCTCCTTGCTCGCTCTTACTAAACTGCTCACGTGAGTCAGAGCCGGTGCTACCAAGTGATATTGCTTCTCCTCCAACGACTCGTACACCAAAAAGAATTTCTGCCTGATACTATCCACTGGCAAGGCGGAGTTGTTGGATTTACTGCAAATAAATGGAGTAATTTCAGCTTTTATCGATTCCAAATACAAGTTGTCACCTTTACTCATGAAATCAGTCGTTCTTCTCATTATGTATAAAGCTTGTTTGCGATACTGTTGCAAAGGTGATCTTAATCCCTCTAATAATAGTAACCAGAAGGTGTCCTTACAGAAGATATCACAATGTATGCGAGTTGATTTTGTAGAATGCAACGATGTAAGACACGTGTCTACCATGATGCTCAGGACAGTAAGAGATTCCTTCAGATCATTCATCTTGTTCAGGATGTAATCCCATAGTGGAAGTAATATGTCTTCAGGAACAAAAGTATTCACCAGCATGGGAAGCATTGAAGCTAATACGCTCCATTCAGAATCTTCTTTCATCTTCATCCATGATTTCATGACTTCTAGATACATAGAACTGATTTCTTTCAATTCCTCTTTGTTGCTATCTCTATCATTATGAGAAAATCGATGTAAGCATAAGGATTCCAACAAGAACTTCAGTACCTTCATATACATAGCTCTAGTGTCACTATTCGTGATATAGGCATTATGAGAGTTCAAAAAACTTTGCAGATATTGCTTAATGGATATAGTGTTATAGTAAAGTACTGTTTGTAGAATGATTATGTCACGTAAAATTGACATTTCTGTAATATTTCGCAGATGTTGTGCTGGAAAAACAGTTTCAATGTTGGGAAAACACACACCAGTCTTTACATCAGATAGCATACATTTCTTATCATTGCGCTGCTCCATTTCACTGAATGTCTGTTGAAATTCGTAACATAACAGCATTCGATAGACCTCCAGTTTGCTTATGTTCAATTTCTCTTTAGTTATTTCATTATTATAAAACTGAAGCAAATGATGAGGCATAATGAATATGTCATTCTCGAGTTTATTATTTAAATTTATTGCTCGTAAAACTGAAATGTCTAATGTTGGGAAATGCAAATAACGCTTGTGCAGATCCATTTTACACGATCTATTTCTTATTTTCAGCCAATCTGTATAGTATTAAATTATTATTGTGCAAATAATATATGCAGCACATGGTACTTGTAAATAAGGGAAAATTTACATCTCAGCAGAAAAGCGGAAAGACAGAAACCAAAAACGCGCACCAGTAGTCAGGTGATAGTTGACAGTTTTTACTTTTTTATCAGTGCGAGTTCCCAGATCGGAGATTAATTTACAGATGCTGTTTATGTTGTTGTTGATAGTACTTGGTCGTGGAACACAGATGCTGTTTATAGCCATCATAACCTCGAGTCCTCTTTAAAGAAAGTGGCGGCTCGTAGCGGAGACTTGGGATGAGAGACTATGTTGAGAGAGAGAGAAAGAGAACGATAAACTACACAGGCTGTGTTCCGAAATTTATTGCTAGTGCTGAAATTCTATAGTATACGTAACATGTGGTCTGTTCTTTTCAGCTGCACTGCTGAACTGGTGCAATAAGTTAGAGTGCGAAAACATATACTTGTCTCACTTTAACTTATTGCACCAGTTCAGCAGTGCAGCTGAAAAGAACAGATCAATGAACTATAGATTTTCAGTATTGACAGTGAATTTCGGAATGTAGCCACAGTCGCGCAACTGCAGAGACGTCAAAATGGTTAGGATATAATAATCAGTCAAAGTTAATTTATTGTTCTATTTACGAAAAAATTGTAACAAATATTGTATTATAATGGAGGAGCAAGGAAAACCAACGATAGTATTTCATCCAATTATTTCCTCAATACAAAAAATTGCTCTATACGAGACAAAATCTGTAAGTTTCTTATTATATTTTAGTGTTATTTCAATTATTTATTATATATTTTGATTATTTATTATATATTTCAGTTATTTGAATTCAATAAAATACATGCTAGTTACCATATATTACAAATATCTGCAATATATTTATTGCCATTTCTCTTCCTTTATTGTTTGCTTTCTTCATATATGTCTTATATCTTGCAGCGATTTTATCTAATGGGTTCAAACAATACATTAACACGTTTTCGAGTTTTGAAAATCGACAGAATGGAACCAAGAGAATTGGTTGTAGTGGATGATAAGAGAGAATACACTCAGGATGAAATAAAAGATCTAGTCAACATGATAGATATGGGTAATCGGACAAGAGTTGGACAGCGCAACAATATAGGTGGTGTTGCGCGTGTTGTATCTGCTTTTGGGATTGTTGGTAAGATCAGAAACATTTTTCCTCTTAGTGCACATGTAAATAAATATAAAATTAGTAATAATTGTATGAGCCTATGTAGTATATATGGTATATTTAGGAGTATGCGTGTGTTTTGCATGTAGCAATTTATACAGTTGTAATATATTTGTTTAAATCCTTTTATTTGTGCACTATTTTACTTTATGTGACTGATAAAACTCAAGGTTCAGGTTCCTCAGCCTTGTGATGCTTCTTCCTTCATTCATGGTGCAATATTTAATTGTTTGGTCATAATATATAGATATTTTTACCATTATTAACACCATTTATTTGCTATATTAAATACTAAAAACATCTAATTGGTATTCTTGTTATATGAAACTTGGCTTACTTACATTTGCTTGCTAATAAAGGCAACAGTAGTAAAGAACCTGCACCCAGTACGAGTAGATCAGAAGAGCCTGAACAACAAGAATCGCAAAAGCCACTGCACAAACCGACACAAACTAAATTTACCTGGAGGAACATGTGGCAGAGAAATACTTTTCCCAGGCTAGTGCCAGCTTTTGGTCTTCTTGGTAAGGCACAATGAGCTTTCTATTGACAAAGCTAAAGGTAGATGTATATAATCATCAAACCGAATAATTTTGTCGCATAATGAAAAAATTGGCTTCTGGGAAGAAAGTTGCGCGTATGCGAAAGTTGCAAGTTGCTTATTGCTAATTGGTTAGCATGCAGATAGTGGATACAATTAAATTGTGAATAAATATCAATTTGAAAGGAGAATGCAGATATCAATCGCATTAGATAATACAATGCAAAGTTATTCAGTTGAAGAATCAAGTATCTTTAAAAGATACACGTAGTCACGATAAAAATAGTAAGAAAAGATGAAAATATGGACTACTTTTTGTTTTAGACAAGAGATTTTATCAAATACAACAATTGCATCAATAAATGTCAGAAGTATTAGCAAAAATATATCAATGTATTCATAATTGTTAGAAAAAAACAAAACTGAAAGAGTACAACTTTTTTTTTAATGTATTGTAAGAAATAAGGTCTTGGGAAATAGAATGGTAATACATGAAATAAGCATGAGAATAAAAAAGCTTACTTTTTGTTATTATGAAGTTGTTAATATTAAAAAAGTTTTTTATTGAATTCCTTAGAATTAAAAAATTATATATAAAAAATAAAATTTGTTTGATATTGCTACTCACTGTTATTTCTCAAACAAACCAGTGAATCTCAAAATAAAAATATATTTCCAAATAACTAACTCTTCAATTTTGAAGTGTAATCCTATTATTTTATAATTGACACTATAGCTGTTTTATTTATCTATTAAACCTAATCTACAATGTGCTCTTTGCTTCCTGTTGTTCTATGTCTTTTTTTAGTTTAAGACTTAAATTATGAGTCAGAAAGAGATAAAGAAACAAGTAATACATTGTAGATCAAACTTTAAGGCAGGAAAAATATTTTTTAATCACCTTATGAGAAATTCTAACAGAAAGAAAATGAAATTTCTCTTAATGCTATAAATGCTAGACCCTTTTGATGGCTGATAAGGATCCTAATGATTCTGTTCATTTCAGTTACCAACTAATCGTAACATTTATTTAAAAATTAAGTCTTGTTTCTCATATTACCACTCTATTTCATATTACCAGCTTCGCTCCTAAGTATTATATGATCGACAGAATCTTAATCTACTGAATCAGACGTTGCGATGTATTGCGGTATGTACATGATATTTCTTACGCATGCTATTATGGGTAGTTGTGTGTTCACGATGTTTCATATATGATGTAATTCAACTGATTGCATGGGTATTACACGTCAAACAGTGAGCAATGCGAATATTGTGCATAATGCAAACTATTATTAAACCTCTACTACTTTATAGATATATTCTGGCATATTGTCTAAATAATGATTGAATTGGGAATTGAAAATTGTAGCACAAGTATACAAAGATATATTCTCATGCAACAAGAATTTTATTAATGTATAAAAGGTGGCATCTGAATGCCATAAGAATTACGTCAATATTGCGACCATATTTTGTTACCATGAAAATTGTTATTTACTTGTCGTCAGATGACGCAATTAATCTGAAGTTATTGTAGTAATTAGAAATAAACATTTTGATTCGAAATATGACGTAATTAAATGGCATTTCTTAAAACAATTTATTTTAAACATGTGCAGTTACAATTGCGCAAAAAAAAAATATATATATAAATTGAATGTTTGCATGCTATGTTCAGCATCTCTGTCTATCCGGGTAGTTTATCTCGTTAGGCAATTTGTAGATACAATAGAAACAAAGTAAGCTCGACAATAATAACGATGAACAATTATTAGATAAATGAAAATCTGTAAGAAGGATACTTGTAGTAATAACTGTCCGACACCACAGGTTTCGTGCGTTTCCTGGAAGGATACTATATAATCCTGGTTACGAAGCGTCGCCGAGTCGCAGTCGTTGGTCATCACACAGTTTACAAGATAGAGGACACCGCAATGATATACATACCAAACGACATCATACGACTCTTCCATCCAGACGAGCAGAGATACGTCAAGATGTTTCAGAGTATCGATCTCAGCAGTAACTTTTACTTCAGCTACTCGTACGACATGTCGCATACCTTTCAAAGTAACATGGCACCACCGAGACACATCAAATCTGACGTTTCCACTGATCCGTCGACTGGCCAGAAAGAGTCCGATGAGTCGGAGAACTCTGGAGATTTCTTTAACATGTGGGCATTCAGGAGAGATTGGCACACCGAACGGTACGGATGTGTCGAATATGTCAATATTAAGCTGTCATTATTCTTTACATGTGTAACTTACAGCTGAAAAGAGCAAGACACAGTTTGCTTTTGTGTATTGTGCATTTTTAATGTATTTATATAGCGAAGGCGAGAAGTACGTGAATTACGGTATACGCAGCAATCCGCATCGACGCTTCGTGTGGAACTCTCACCTCCTGAAACCCGTGGAAAAGGATCTGCATCCCGACTGGATACTGTATATAATACACGGCTTTATCGGTCAGTCGAACGTGAGCATCTTCGGGAGATCCATGTACGTTACTATTATCGCGAGGAGAAGCAATAAGTATGCCGGCACACGATTTCTAAAGCGCGGCGCAAATTTCGATGTGAGTGTAACCGTTGCTGAGGCTGCATTCGCTTCGGATGCTTTTGTGCTGAAAGCACATCGTTTTTCGTTCGATATGCAATAAAGATTGAACGTTATCAACATAGAAGCATCCAAAGCGAACGCAGCTTCACCGCAGATACTTGCCGGTAAACTAAACTAATAACGCGCGCACAGGGAGACGTTGCCAATGAAGTAGAAACGGAACAGATCGTTCACGACTCCGGCGTGAGTTCTTTAAGTAAAGGACGCTTCAGTTCCTTCGTACAAATGCGCGGATCAGTGCCCGCTCATTGGAGTCAGGACGTTAGCAAAATGGTCCCGAAGCCGACCATAACTTGCGACTTGGCTGACCCTTACGTGGAAACGGCAGGTATATTGCTACACGAAGATTTAAATTGATGCTTCCGTCTAGTTCCAAGAAGGATCGTCACTCTTGTACGATCAGAATGATTTTAGGTGCGCACTTCAATCAGCTGTTGAGAAGATACGGATCACCGATAATAATATTAAATCTAGTGAAGAAACGGGAGAAGAAGAAACACGAGAGCACATTGAGCGAAGAGTTGAGCATGGCTGTGAAGTACTTAAATCAGTTTCTACCTTTGGAGCACCATATCCAATATATCAGTTTCGATATGGCACGTATGAGCAAGAGGCAAGTTCGTTGTATTAACATATTTATGTTAATACGTTATATTAATGTATTGTCAAAGATAATTTGGCGGGAACGTGAATGTATATTGAAGAAATGGCTACGTTCAGCAGAGAAAGCTGCTATGCAACTGTTGTAAACTTCATAAATCTGATCGGTGGCTTTTAATCTTGGGTGAATATAAGAGCATGTACCAAATAGATTCACGAATTTTGCAATAGTTACAAAGCAGCTTTCTCTGCTGAACGCAGTCGGTGCACCTTTCCCAACAATGCAACTTCTCTTGTTTACAGGAAAGAAGTGAATGTTATGAGGCGTTTAGCAAATATCGCTTACAACGCAGTGTTAAAGACCGGCATTTATCAATCGCAAAATCCGTATTACAGTCAGAGATATTTGTTCTCACCGCAGAACAACAACGTCAGGAAGCTTCACAAGACGAATTCGAGCTCGACCTTGTCGTCCAATTTGTGCGACGCCAGATGTTCCGTTAACGCGTCGATTAAGACAGACTGCAGCAAGCAAACGAATTCTATACACTGCTCCGATTCAAGCGCGGATATCCATCGAACGAACGAATTGAATCAAGTCGAGAGCAAAGTGAGGGAGTGTTTCGCCAGAAGAGGAACTTTGCAGACCGGAATCATCAGAACGAATTGCGTAGACTGTTTAGATCGCACCAACACGGCGCAGTTCGCGATAGGGAAGTGCGCTTTAGGATTCCAACTGTGCGCTCTGGGTGTGCTGGAATCCCCCAAACTTGAGTTCGATTCCGACTGCGTGAGAATGTTGGAGGAACTGTACGAGGATCACGGGGATACTCTGGCCCTGCAATACGGTGGATCACAATTGGTGCACAGAATTAAAACGTACAGGTGAATGAATTGTGTTTGGGAGTGTGAGTACCGATAATCATATAAGTGAAACGATTGATTATACAACTGTTTTGTTATTTAAGGAAAACTGCACCATGGACTAGTCAGGGTAATGATATTATGCAAACCTTAAGCAGATATTACAGTAATACGTTTAGCGACCAAGAGAAACAGCATACGATTAATCTGTTTTTGGGTAAGCAAACGCGATATCTGTTCGTGAGATTCATGATTTATGATTATCATTTGACCAATTTTGTTTAATATTAGGATTATTCGTACCTGAAGAAGGCAAGCCTCCGATATGGGAACTTTTGACGGATTATTATCTCCACCATCCACCTGCCTGTCGGTACTTGCGTAAGACGAAGCTCCTAACACAATGGTGGGATAAAAATGTATTGAAATGTCTCCCTTATGCGCTAAGCGAAGTAACTAAATCTTGCACGGAAATGATACAAGTGCAAAATTCAATGGAAGAAATGATTGATGTTTATTACGATTATCATAGGTAATATCACGCATAATGTAATTTATATGTATTTATATTGTATCAAAAATATCATAAATTTATATATTCTATGGAAAATTACTTATATACGATTCCTTGCATAAATATAAATTAAATTGTATAGGTACATCACATATTTATATATATATATATATATATATTTTTTTTTTTTTTTTTTTTTTTTTTTAGGCAAAGGAAATGTATTACGCACGCCCCCAGGG